TGGTTTATTTCACTGCAGCACAGCCCAGGCTTCTACTACAGCTGTGGAGAGCGGATCAGAGAGCAGAACACGACTGCTCTGACAGCAGACATCTCCTGCAGGATGTGTGGGCCTGCCTGGGGCAGCCAGGTGACCGCACTGCATGCAGGCACCACCTGCAGTGAACCAGCAGTGGATCCCAGGAGCTGCATCCCTTGGAAATGATGGTGCCTCACCTGTGCCCTATTCCCTTGTTAGCAGAGAATTAGGTTGCTCTTTACTGATGAGAACTGAGCATTTCATCCTACTCACTGCTCCCCACTCCTTAGCCAGTTCCTGAGATGTGACATTGCCTTTTCTTTTTCAGCCCTTGGGCAGCTTGTTTTCTTCAGAGCCTTAAGGCACCCCCAGTGGCTGTTTGGAAGTGGCTGAGCTGGAGCTCTACAGCCAGTGCCTATGTGTGTGCAGCTGTGCTGTGCTGTACCTGTCCCTCTCTGCTGCTCTTGGAGCTCCTTGAGGCTTAAAGGAGAGCTCCCATTCCATCCTTGGAGCTGCACCAACCCCTCACCTTGGAATGCTGGCATAATGGGGCCAACTCCTCCTTCCCTGCAGCTGCTCCTCCACCTGCTCCCCATCTGCACCACATCCTATGGTTATCTTGGAGGATGCTTTCCAGTCCACCACTGCTCCTTGGGGTTGGTGCAGAGGCACGTGGTGTGGCCCATCTTGAGGGTGGATGGTGATAGGACAAGGGGAATGGCTTTAAAGTGAGACAGAGGAGGTTTAAGTTGGATATGAGGAGGAAGTTTTTCAGCCAGAGGATGGTGAGGCACTGGCACAGGTTGCCCAAGGAGGCTGTGGATGCCTCATCCCTGCAGGCATCCAAGGCCAGGCTGGATGTGGCTCTGGGCAGCCTGGGCTGCTGGTTGGCGACCTGCACATAGCAGGGGGTTGGAACCAGGTGAGCATTGTGCTCCTTTGCAACCCAGGCCATTCTATGAGTCTATGATTCTATGATATGTTCTCACTGGCAGCCATGCTGTGTTCATTGTGTGGCCCTCTCAGTGGCAGACATGTGGTGTTCTTGCTTTGGCAAGGGATGACACAAGGACAAAACCTTAAGCAAGCAGTGTCCTTGCTGAGCAGCACTGATAGTTTCACCCATTTTGTCCTTCTCTGGAAGGCAGCTGAATTGCCACTGCAAGCCGACACCACACCTCGTGTACTTTGCACACCATCAGAGGGTTTGGAGTTGGGCTGCAGTTCCTGTTTTGGTTTACAACCAAAATAGAGTGACTTCACATTTTGCTGTGCCAGGAGCTGGAAGTTTGCAAGAATGCAGATGACACCACACTCTGAAGGAGGAATGCTGGAGGAGAAGGCAGAGAAGCACAGCATCACTGTCCAGCATCGCTCTGGGGTCAGTGCATGAGGCACTGGAGCGCCGTGGTGCCATGCTGCTGCATCCTGCCTTGTTTGGTTGTACATACGGCTTCCAATCATAAGGAAAAAAACCAGTGAGGGTGCAGGGCACAGGGAGTGCCCCTCGCTGCACAAAGCCTGAACACAGACACATGGGATACTCTGCAGCACAGCCCCACAGTGCTGGGTGACGCAGCGGCCGGTCCTGCAGCTTCCAGGGCAGCTGGAAGGGACACACGGGCATCGCAGCCTGGTGGCATGGCCTCACCTGCCGGAAGGTGTGGGTGTCCTTGGCTGGAGCAGCTGCCAACCACATCAGAGAGATGAGATCCTTTCTCAAGGATGCTTTAGCAATGGGGGGGTGTTGCTTTCTGTCAGTGTTTGATTTGGGAAACATCCTCTACTGGAGGTGCTGACACTGCTCCCCTGCAGCCGCTCTGTGCAGCCGCACAGCCCAGGGTGGATGGCTGTGGGCTCAGAGCAGACACAGAACCCCAGAACTGCAGGAGTTGGAGGGATCTCTGGAGATCCTCCAGTACAACCTGGCACCATTCTTCTGACCCCACCCTTCAGATATCAATCAGCACTGATCAGATCCCTCTGAGCCTCCTCTCCTCCAGGTGCACAGCCCCGGGGCTCTCAGCCTGTTCCCATCAGGAGGTGCTCCAGGCTCCCACTATCTCCGCACCCTCTGCTGGTCTCCCTCCAGCAGTTCCCAGTCTGCCCTGAACTGGGAGCTCAGCACCAGGCGCAGCGCTCTGGCTGTGACCCATCACTGCAGAGAGGAGGGGAAGAGAACCTCCGTGCCCTGCTGGCCATGCTCTGTGCAAGGCACGCCAGGGTCCCATCAGTCTTCTTGGCAATCAGGGCACACTGCTTGCTCATGGCCAACCATTGGCCGCCAGGACCCCCAGGTCCTTCTAGTACATCTGCTTTCCATCAGCTCAGCTCCAACCTGACTTGGTGCCCAGCGCACTGCAGAAGGCGGCACACGGTGGAGCTCTTGCACCGGGATTCCCTGTGGCCAGTGTGCCTGGAGCTGCTCATACGGGGCAGCTCAGGGTCCGTGGGGATGCATGAAGCTGCAGTGAGGGGTTTGGGGAACGTCCCCTCAGCTGCGGGTGCCCACATCGCACCTGCTGTGCCTCACACAGGGATCCTATGAAGAAAGGCTGAATGAGCTGGGTCTGTTTAGCCTTGAGAAGAGAAGACTGAGAGGAGACCTGATCCAGGTCTATCAATATCTAAGATGTGGGGGACAGAGTGGCGAGGCCGGACTGTTTTCAGCAGTATGTGGAGACAGGACAAGGGGAAATGGCAGAAAACTGGAGCATAGGAAGTTCCATATGAATGTGTGCAAGAACTTCTTTAGGTGAGGTGACGGAGCACTGGAACAGGCTGCCCAGGGAGGTTGTGGAGTCTCCTCTGGAGATATTCAAGACCCGCCTGGATGCCTACTTGTGTGACCTGGTGTAGGGAACCTGCTTTGGCAGGGGGGTTGGACTCGATGATCTCTGGAGGTCCCTTACAACCCCTACAATTCTGTGATTCTGTGATCCAGGCAGGCGATGGAGTCCCCATCCCTGAGCATGGAGATGTGATGCTTGGGGACATGATCAGTGGGCACGGTGGGATGGGTTGGGGTTGGGGATCTCGGATGTCTTCTCCAACCTTAATGACTTTGTGACCCTGCAGTGGGGTTGAGACCCCCTCCAGCCGAAGCCATTCTGTCCCTGTGGATCCCTCCCGACAGCTCAGGATGTTTTACAATTCTAAAGCTCTTCGGAATGCACGCTGAACCGGCCGAGCCCAGTCCTTGAGGGATGGGCACAAGCAGCAGCTATGGGTAAACAGAAGAGACAAAAATCCTTTTTATTCTGAGTGATTGCACAACTTGGAGCTCTGTGGGAACTGAACCCTGATCATTTTTACCCAGACGTGCGATGCGGATCAGTGGGAGTTCTGCCGGTGCTTCAGATCCGCGGCACATGCAGCCATGCAAAGAGCCTGGGGCGCTGCCAGCAGCGGCTTCCTGCAGCCTTTCCAGAGAACTCACTTATTTTCCGGCTTCCCATGAAGTCCTGGCATGAGAGTTTGCTCTGCAGCTCCAAGCACAGCAGAGGGCACACGCGCTCGTGGTGCACGATTACCCCTCGCACTGCTGCTCTCCTCCCAGAGCAGGAGCAGATGTCGCTCTGCCAGGAGCTACTGGTGGTGCCTTGGAAAATCTGCAAGGTGCTCTGGAACATGGACTTGACGTGCTCATATTTGCTCCTCTTTCAGCTTTGCAAGCAGCTGAATGAGCTGCCTGCTTTGCAAGCCCCCTACTCTGCTGCTCTTGTGTGATCCCGCCTGGAGCACTGCATCCAGTTCTGGGGGTCCCAACACAAGAAGGACGTGGAGCTGTTGGAGGGGGTGCAGAGGAGGGCCACAAAGATGATCAGAGGGCTGGAGAATCTCCCCTACAGGGATGGGCTGAGAGAGCTGGCGCTCTGCAACCTGGGGAAAAGAAGGCTCTGGAAAGAATTTACAGCCCTTCCAGTACCTGAAAGAGCCAGAAGGAAAACTGGGGAGGGACTTTTATGAGGGCATGTAGTGACAGGACAAGGAGAAACAGCTTTAAACTGGAAGAGAGGAGATTCATACTAGATCTTAGGAAGAAATTCTTTACTTTGAGGGTGGTGAGACACTGGAACAGGTTGCCCATTGAAGTTGTGGTTGCCCCCTCCCCTGGAAGCACTCAAGAGCAGGCTGCATGGGGCTGTGAGCAACCTGGGCGAGAGGGAAGTGTGATCCTAGGTGATCCTAAAGGTCCCTTCCAGCTAAAACCATTCTGTGATTCTGCAGACCTCAAATGTGCTGAAGGGCTGCGGGTTGGGGCTTTGGGTCGAGGCTGTTGGTTGCGTTGGGACTGTTGGTTGGTCTGGGTTTTCTGAGGTCACAGAGACCCCCAACTCTGTGCATGCTGTTGGCTTTGCACTGTGCTCGTGGTAGAGAAGCACCATAAGAGACCACGGTTCTTCCTGCAATGGGGTCAGGGCAGTTCAGAGGGGCTGCAGAGGCAGCAGGATGGCCAAGCAGGTGGGATTTGGGACATCCTTAGCCAAGAGAATTATAGAATCACTCATAGAATGGCCAAGGTTGTAAAAGACCTACCAGGATCATCCAGTCCAACTGTATCACCAATATTTCCTGCTAAACTATGTCCCTCAGTACAGTACCTCAATGTTTTGGGACATGCACTGTACTGCGAACATGCAGCTCTGCCATCAGGAACCCATGGTGCCCAGTGTGATGGCCAAAAAGGCAGCATATGGTCACACATCTCCCATCCTGCTCCAAATGGGGCATTTTAGGGCTCCTTGGCCCAAAGCATCGTGTGGTGCTCTTCTTTGTGGCTGTAGTGTGTAATTAATTACTGTGTGCTCTCAGCTGAGGGTGGTGAGCAGGATCACGGTGGTCCAAGTGGAGATGTTCAAGTCCCAACCGATCCCCACTATGCCCACTCATACAATCATATATTCAGAATCATTAAGGTTGAATAAGATCTCCAAGACCACCAAGCCCAACCCCAACCCATCCCTACCATGCCCACTGTTCCTGCATGCCACATCTGCACAGCTCTGGGACACCTCCAGGAATGGGGACTCCCACACATCCCTGGTGCTCTGATGAGGTTCATTGCTAATTTCCACATCTCACATACATTTGTTTTCTACTGTCAGCTCTAAAGACAACAGTGAAAACTTGCTTTTCCAGAACATAACTGGGTTAATTACAAACATCCACAGTCAGTGCATCTGAGGATTGTAAGTTTCCTTTTATTAAACAGGAGTAGAGTTATTCAGCCCAGAACTGTACAGCACAGTGGTCCCAGGGCTGTCTCCAGTTGGGAGCATGCACATGGTGTGCACCTGGAGGAGGACAGGTGAGTGAAACACAGGGAATAGCAGAGCTGAGAAATGAGGGAAGGAAGCAGCAGAGGCACAGCTCCCTCCTGCAGCTCCCTGCTGCTCACTGCTACCAGCACAGCCCTGGCCAGCAGTACGGCACAGCACCCACTGCTGTCTCCTGTCACCTGCAAGGATCCCAAGGAACAACTCTACGGGTGCACTCTGTAGAACAAGAGAACTGAAGGGAGGGGAACCAACCTCGGTGATGGTGATACTATGAAAGTAAGTACCAAGTGATTGCAGTGTATGAAGCAGTGAGAGAACAACCAGCACTCAGATGAGAGAGGAAGTGGTCCAGAGACCCCTGGGAAAACAGGATGGGCTGAGGCAGTGAGAGCAAGCTCAGGAAGCCCCTCCAGGAGCACCCAACATAAGCACGATGCTGTGTCTGCATGTAAGCTTCAGATGTGCAAACCTAAAACTGTGTCAGTGCCATGGCGATTGGTGCAAACATGTTCAGTGCATAAAGAATATACATGAGATGGGAAGTAAAAATTCAGCTCTCATGTCAGCTAATACTGTAAGAGATTTTTGCCCATATAAGAAGAAAGCATACAACATATTGCACATAAATGACCGGAGATAAGCCAGGCTGATTCATAAATTCCAGGAAGGTAATAAAAGAAAAAGGATTAGATGGTATAACGTAATGCATCACTGAGTCACTTCAAAACCATATTTCATGTGTGAATACTATGAAAAAATGAAAGCAAAGAAGGAAATACTGAAAGTGCTCGCAGTAGAATAAGAAAAACAAGGTAAGTCAGTGAGAAAAAATAAGGGAGACAAAAATGCAAGAAGCAAAACAAGTAGTAACAGCCTGAAAATTGTTCACCAAGGTAAAAACACAGAAAAAAACAGACAGTAATTATAATTAATCAGGAAAAATCTTGAGGAAATAGAGCCCCGTGTCCGGGTCGGGCACGCAGCGGCGCAGGAGCTGCATGTAGGTGAGGTTCTCGTGCGTGTTGGGGTCGAAGAAGCCCTTGGTGTCGTCGCTGGGGTCGGACAGGACGCGGCTCATCTCGCGGTCAAAGTAGCCCCGCTGGTAGGCGGCTTCGACGGGCAGGCGGTGGCTGTGCACGGGGTCGATGATGCCGCCGGTGGCGATCTGGGCCTCCAGCAGGCGGATGCCGTGCTCCCTGACGATCAGCTCCTTCTGCATGGCCTGGAAGAGGGACATCTGGGCGCCGGTGTAGGGGTCGGTGTAGCCCGTGACGGCCCTCTCGGCCGACAGCAGCTTCTCGTGCAGCTCGCTGCCCACCAGCCCGGAGGAGACGGCCTCGTCCACGGAGAGCTTCTGGTTGGTGAGCGGGTCGACGAGGAAGCCGGTGGCAGCCTGCGCCTCCAGCAGCACCAGGGCGGTGCCCTGCCTCAGGATGCCCTTCCACATGGCCTGGTAGATGCTCATCTTCTCCGTCTTGGCGGGGTCGGCCTTGGAGGGCACCAGCACGCCGGCGATGCAGCCCGTGCCGTCCAGGTAGCGCTTGACGGAGGCCATCTGCGTCACCTGCTCCACCGTCTTGGAGCCCTGGACCAGCTCGGCCAACGTGTCCTTGTCGATGATGCCCGAGTCCAGCAGGTCCGAGGCGGTCACCTGCCGCCTGAGGCCCCGGAACGTCACCTTGCTGCTCCGCTCCACCGCCTCCTGGACCAGGAGGGCGAGCAGCCTGGCCAGCTCGTCCAGCGTCAGGCTGCCGTCGCGGGCCTTCCCCAGCAGCTCGTGCCTCTTGGCCTCGGAGACGTACTTGGAGAAGAGGAGCTCCCAGAGGGAGACCTTCCTGCCGTGGAAGTCGCCGCCCGGCACCTCGATGCTGCGCGACGACAGGGCCCGCTCCAGCTCCAGCTCCAGCTCCAGCTCCATGGCCGCGGCCGCGGCCGTGTGGCGCTCGCCGTCCTGCCGGGAGCTGCCGGCATCGCCGTTGTGGGCCGGAGGCGGGGCCTCCTGCTGCGTCGTCTCCTGGCTGGAGGCGGCACGGCCCCGTCCCGCGGCCCCGCTGACGATGCTGGTGAGAAGGGCGGTCATCTCGGAGATGCTCAGCGTGCCCGCCTTGTACTTGCGCAGGAGGTCCTGGCGCCGGCGCTCGGGGACGTAGCGAGAGAAGAGGAGCTCCCAGAGGGTGACGCTCTGGCCGTGGAAGAGCCCCGCGCTGACGCTGGTGCGGGCGGTCTGCAGGGCTTTGCGGGCGTCCTCGCTCAGCTGGTAGAGCACCGAGCCCTTGTCCATCAGCTGCAGCATCAGCAGCCCCGTGTCCGGGTCGGGCACGCAGCGGCGCAGGAGCTGCATGTAGGTGAGGTTCTCGTGCGTGTTGGGGTCGAAGAAGCCCTTGGTGTCGTCGCTGGGGTCGGACAGGACGCGGCTCATCTCGCGGTCAAAGTAGCCCCGCTGGTAGGCGGCTTCGACGGGCAGGCGGTGGCTGTGCACGGGGTCGATGATGCCGCCGGTGGCGATCTGGGCCTCCAGCAGGCGGATGCCGTGCTCCCTGACGATCAGCTCCTTCTGCATGGCCTGGAAGAGGGACATCTTCTGTCCTGTGCTCGGGTGGCTGTATCCCGTCACAGCTTTTTCTGCACAGACCAGTTTCTTCTGCAGCTCGCTGCCCACCAGCCCGGAGGAGACGGCCTCGTCCACGGAGAGCTTCTGGTTCTTTACTGGGTCGATGATGAAACCAGTGGCAGCCTGTGCCTCCAGCAGCACGAGTGCTGTCCCAGGCCTCAGGATGCCCTTCCACATGGCCTGGTAGATGCTCATCTTCTCCATTTGGTCAGGGTCAGCCTTGGAGGGCACCAGCACACCGGCGATGCTGCCTGTTCCCTCGAGGTATTGTCTCACAGTCTCCTTCTGTGCTATTTCTTCTGCAGTCTCTTTTCCTTCCTTGAGTTTTTCCATGGTTTCTTCTGTTATTATCTGTGCACTGAGAAGTTCTGACGCTGTTATTTGTTGTCTGATGCCTTGGAACCAAACGTCGCTTCTGTTCTGCTCTTTCTCTTTGATGATGTTTAATATTATGTCAATGATTCTCTGTATGATGTGGTGGGATTCCTCTTTATATTTTTTCACAAGTTCTTGTCTTTTCTCTTCTGTGATGTACTCAGAGCACAGAAGTTCCCACAGTGATAATTCACTCCCTTTGTATTTCCCAACAGACACCTCTACCTTTGTTGACATCAATGCTTTCTTTGTATGCTCATCGATGTAGAAATAGTCCTCCTCTTTCTCCAGGACTGGCAGCAGGTACAGTCCTGTGTCTGTGTCTTTGGAACACCGTTTCAGAAGCTGACTGTAGCTGCTTTTCTCATGGATATTTGGGTCTATAAATCCTTTGCTGCCATGGTCGGGATCAGAAAGCAGGAGGAACGTGTCCCCATCCAGGTGGCCACGCCGGTAGGCCACCTCCACAGGCAGGCGGTGGCTGTGCACGGGGTCAATGATCCCACCAGTGGCAATCTGTGCCTCCAGCAGACGGATGCCATGCTCCTTGGCTGCTACCTTACTCCTTATGGCCTGGAAAAGGGAGATCTTAGCACCTACCTGGGGATCTGTGTATCCTGTCACAGCTCTCTCTGCAGACAGCAGCTTCTCATGCAGCTCCCTGCCCACCAGCCCAGATGAGACGGCCTCGTCCACGGAGAGCTTCTGGTTGGTGACTGGGTCAATGAGGAAGCCGGTGGCAGCCTGTGCCTCCAGCAGCCCCAGCGCACACTGCTCGGAGAGGAGCCCCCTCTCCAGTGCCTGGTAGATGCTCATCCTCTCTTTCCTTGATGGCAGTAGCACTCCGGCGATGCACCCAGTGCCGTCCAGGTATGTTCTGACTGCATCCTTCTTGGTGAGGCTGGCAAGTGTCAGGCTCCCATCCTGCAGTTGCTCCAGAGTCCTCTTGTCAATTATCTCCGAGTTGAACAGCTCTGACACCGACACCTCTCCCCGCAGCCCTTTAACCTTGAGGGCTTCTCCTTTTTGCTCTGTATCCTCAATTACTTTGAGGATGAGAGCTATAAGGTCTTCGAGAGTAAGAGTCTTGCATTTGTATTGCTTTAATAGTTCTTTCCTTTTCTGCTCAGAGATATAATGAGAGTAGAGAATGTCCCAGATGGACATTGTTTGGTCCTTGAATCTTCCAACTTTCACTCGAAGAGGCTTTGACTGCAGAATCTGCCTTGTCAGCTCATCAACGTAGAAGTATTTTCCCCCTTCCTGCACAACCTGTAGCATGTACAACCCCGTCTCTGCATCCTGAACACACCTCTCCAGGAGCTGCATGTAGGTGAGGTTTTCGTGCGTGTTGGGGTCGAAGAAGCCCTTGGTGTCATCGCTGGGGTCAGACAGGACGCGGTTCATTTCCTCATTGAAGTATCCACGCTTGTAGGCCACCTCCACGGGGATGCGGTGGCTGTGCACGGGGTCGATGATGCCGCCGGTGGCGATCTGGGCCTCCAGCAGGCGGACGCCATGGCTCTTCACTATCAGCCCTTGGTTCATGGCTTCAAAGAGGGACATGGGTGCTTTTGTGTAGGGGTCAACGTAGCCCGTCACAGCTCTTTCTGCAGAGAGCAGCTTTTCATAAACCTCCACTCCAACGAGTCCAGCCTTCAGCGCCTCCTCCACTGAAAATTTCTTGTTTTTCTCTGGGTCGATGATGTAGCCAGTGGCAGCCTGTGCCTCCAGCAGCACCAGTGCCGTGCCTGGCCTCAGGATGCCTCTCCTCATGGCCTGGTAGATGCTCATCTTCTCATTGCTTGGCTGGATGAGGACCCCCGCTATGAAATTGCTGCCCTCCAGGTATATGCGAACAGAGTCCATTTTGGTGACTTCTTGGACCGTTTTCTTCCCCTGGTTGAGCTCATCGAGGGTTTTTTTGTCTATCAGCTGGGACCGGAAGAGATCACTGGCAGACACCTTTTTCCGCAGACCTTTGAATGCAAACTTCCTGCCTTGTGCCTCGGTTTCTGTGATAATTGTGGTGACAATCGTTACGATTTCTTGCAGTGCTTCGGCATTCTCATCTTTGTATTTCTGCACCAGCTCTCTCCTTTTGCTGTCCGTGATGTACTCAGAGTTGAGGAGGTCCCAGACAGATACTGTCTGTCCTTTGAACCGCCCTACATTGACACAGACAGTCACAGATTTCAGCACCTCCATGGTTTGGTCATCCACACAGAACATTGCATTTTTGGACAGAGGAAGGAGCCAGAGACCCGTCTCAGCCTCGTAAATGCACCGATCCTTCAGCTGCTGGTAGGTCACGTTTTCCTTTGTGTTTGGATCGAAGAAGATCTGGGTGCTGTCATTCAGCTGCACGAGGCTTTGGTTCAAGTCCTCATCGAAGAAGCCGTACCTGTATGCAGCCTGGAGTGGGAGGTGATGGTGGTGGATGGGATCGATGACCCCTCCAGTGGCCAGCTGGGCCTCCAGCAAAGGCACAGCATCAGCCATGGGAACGAGCTCCTTCCTGACTGCCTGGCACAGGGAGATGGGGCTCCCAGTGTAGGGGTCTGTGTAGCCCACCACCGCCCTCTCTGCACGGAGCAGCGTCTCAGTGAGCTCTTTGCCAACAACGCCCGCCCGCACAGCATCCCTCACGCTAAACCTATGGCTCGTGGCAGGGTCAGTGAGGTACCCTGTGGCCGCCTGAGCTTCCAGCAGCTTCAGGGCAGCCCCAGGCAGGAGGAGGTTATTCTTCATGGCATCGTAAAAACTCATTTTCTTTTTGGACTCCTCTACGATCACCCCAGCGATGCTGCCCGTGCCCTGCAGGTATCTCTTCACGCTGCCCACTTCAGCCACCTCCTCAGGAGTTCGGATGCCCTGAGCCAGCTCTTCAAACATCTTCTCTGTGATGATGCCGGCCTCCAGCAGCCAGACGGCAGGGACGCTGCCCTGCAGACCCCCCAGCATGATGTGGGTGCGGGCTTTCATTTCCATCTCCCCGACCAGCCCAAGCACCAGTGCAATCAGCTGCTGCAGCGACGTTTCCTTTGCACGGAACCTCTCCACAAAGCCCCTCCGCTGCTCTTCGGTGAAGTAGCCGGAGTGGATGAGCGCCCAGAGGGAGACTCCTTTCTCCTTCACCATAGTTTCCTGGAAGAGCTGCTGGATTTGCTCATCTGTGTAGGCAGGAGCGGCCGTCTGCAGCAGAGGCAGCAGATGGAAGCCAGACACCTCGTCCTTCTGGCAACGCTGGATGAGCTCAGCGTAGCTCACGTTCTCCTTGCTGTCTGGGATGCAAAAGGCTCTGTTGCTGTCTCTGGGCTCAGAAAGGGCTCTGCTTGTGTCCTCATCCAGGCACCCGCGCTTCTGGGCAGCCTCGATGGGGACATGGTGGCCGCACGTTGGGTCGATGATGCCTCCGGTCGCCATCTGCACCTCCATCAGCTGCATGGCCTGCTTGTCCGCAATCAGACCCTTCTTCATGGCCTGGAAGAGGGGTATCTTCCTGCCCGTGAAGGGGTCCTTGTACCCCGACACTGCCCCTTCTGCTTGCTGCAGCTTCTCGTGCACCTCCGGCCCAATGACGCCCTCCTTGATGGCCTCATCCACACGGAGCTTCTGGTTGTTCACAGGGTCAATGATGAAGCCCGTGGCAGCCTGGGCCTCCAGGAGTGGTAGGGCTACTCCGGGTACCATGATGTTCTGTTTCATGGCCTCGTAGATGCTCATCCTCTGGTTTGAGGGCTGGAGCACAATGCCCCCAATGCTGCCGGAGCCGTAGAGGTACTTTCTGACTGAGTCCATGCGCAGGACTTCCTCAGGGCTGACGGACCCCTCCAGCACCTCCTCCAGCAGGGTCCTGTCAATGATGCCTGTCTCCATCAGGTGGTACGCACTGACACTGCCCCTCAGGGCTGGGAACTTGATGGGGGCCCACTTCTTCATCTCCTCCTCCAGCATGGCCCGGATCTGCTCCAGGCTGAGCTTCTTCAGCCGGTAGTGGTTGAAGATCTCCCGGCGCCGCCCCTCACTGAAATACTCAGAGGTCAGCAGCTCCCACACAGAGACCCTCTCTCCGCGCAGACGCCCAAAGCGGACGGGCAGCCAGGAGCTGCAGAACAGCTCACGGGTGGCAGCATCCACAAACTGCCGCCTCCTGCTGTTCAGGGGGAGCAGGCAGAGACCACTGCCCGGCTCCGTCACGCACTTCTCCTTCAGCTGCAGGTAGGTGAGGTTCTCCTCCGTGTTGGGGTCGAAGAAGCCCTTGGTGTCGTCGCTGGGGTCAGACAGGATGATGGTCATCTTCTTGTCCAGGTAGCCGCGCTTGTAGGCCACCTCCACAGGGATGCGGTGGCTGTGCACGGGGTCGATGATGCCGCCGGTGGCGATCTGGGCCTCCAGCAGGCGGATGCCGTGCTCCCTGACAATCAGCTCCTTCTGCATGGCCTGGAAGAGCGAGATCTTGTCCCCTGAGCAGGGGTCTCGGTACCCGGTGACACATTTCTCTGCTGACAGCAGCTTGTCGTAGACGTCGGGGCCAATGATGTTTGCCCTTAACGCCTCATCCACAGAGTAACGTTTGTTGGCTGCCGGGTCAATGACAAAGCCGGTGGCAGCCTGTGCCTCCAGGAGGATCAGCGACGTCCCTGGCCTCAAGAGCCCTTTCCTCTTAGCTTGGTAGATGCTGATCTTCTCCTGGGATTCAGGAAGCAGCAGCCCAGCAATGCTCCCCGTCCCTTCCAGGTACTTCCTGACCGTGTCCATGCCCACTACTTCCTTGGCTGATGTTTCCCCCTCCTTCAGTTTCTTGAACAGATCCTTGTTGATGATCTCGGAGCTCAGGAGCTGGTCGGCAGTCACGCGTCCCCTCAGCCCTTCAAAGGTGATGTTGGCTGCAGAAGCCATTTCCTCAACAGCAGTACGGACAGCCTTGGCCATCTCCTGCATGGAGAGCGCTCCCTCCAGGTACTGCTGGGTGAGGGCGGCTCTTTGCTCGCTCTGGATGTAGTCAGAGAAGAGGAGCTTCCAGAGAGACACCGATTTTCCTTTGAACTTGCCTACAGCAATGGGCACCTTTGTGTTCTCCAGAGCCATTTGGGTGCTGCGGTCGAGGAAGAGACGCGTTCCTTCGGTTCCGTCACTGAGCGGCAGCAGCAGGAGCCCAGTGCTGGGGTCGGTGATGCACTGCGCCAGCAGCTCTGCGTAGCTCAGCTTCTCCTGAGAGCTGGGGTGGAAGAACCCTTTGCATTCCTCAGTGGGATTGGTGAGGAGCTGCCGGGTGCTCTCATCCAGGTACCCCCAGCGGCACGCGGTCTCGGCAGGGACACGGAGGTGCCGGCCCGGAGCGATGACACCTCCGGTGGCCATCTGAGCCTCCAGGAGGTGGAGGCCGTGGTCCCTGGGGATGAAACCCTTGCTCATGGCTTGGAACAGGGACAGCATCTCCCCAGTGCAGGGGTCCCTGTAGCCGCTGATGGACCTCTCTGCTGAAGACAGTTTCTCATGCAGCTCGGGGCCGACGAGGCCGCTCCTGACGGCCTCATCCACGGAGAAGCTCCTGTTCTGGATGGGGTCGATGAGGCTGCCGGTGGAGGCTTGCACCTGCAGCAGCGCCAGCGCAGCACCGGGCAGCAGGAGGTGCTCCCGCAGTGCCTGGTAAAGGCTCCTCCGCTCCCCAGAGGCCAGAACCACGCCAGCCACACTCCTTGTGCCATGCAGAAACCGCTGCACTGCGTCGTCCTCTGCCACCTCCCGGGCTGACACCTTCCCCTCCTGCAGAGCCCTGAGCACATCGGGGCTGATGATGCCGGCGTCCCGCAGCTCTGTGCCACTCACTCGCCCTCCCAGCCCCGCAAATGTGAGCTGCAGGGGCAGGAGGAGGAACCCCGAGGCCGGATCCACCATGCATCGCTCCCTGAGCTCTGCATAGCTGACCCTCTCCATGCTGTTGGGGTCGAGGAACCCTTTGCTCTCCTCGCTGCCATCAGACAGGAGCTGCCCCATCTCCTCATCCAGGAGCCCCTTCTCACAGGCAGCCTCTGCCTGGAGCCGCCTGCCTGTGGCCAGGTCGATGAGGCCCCCGGTTGCCAGCTGGGCCTCCAGCAGCCGCAGGCCCTGCTCCCTCCCGAGCAGCTCCTTCCGCAGTGCCTGGAACAGAGGGATCAGCTCCTCCGTGTAGGGGTCCATGAAGCCAACAGCTGCTCTCTCAGCAGCCAGCAGCCTCTCCTTCAGCTCCAGCCCCACCAGCCCCCTCTGCACAGCCTCTGCCACGGACACATGTGACTTCTGCCCCACATCAGCAATGCCACCCGTGGCTGCCTGCGCCTCGAGGAGAAGCAGCGCCGGCTCCAGGCTCAGCAGGTGCTCTCTGGTGGCATCATAAAAGCTCATCATCTTCTTCATAGCCTCCACATACACCCCAGCGATGCTGCCAGCTGCACCACTGCTGTCCACTGCTGCTGCATCCCTGACAGCTGCTGCCAAGGATGATCCACCAAGGTGCACTGCTGCCACATCCCTGCCAACTGCACCATCATGGTGCATTGCTGCTGCATCCCTGCCAGCTGCTGCCTTCTGCTTACCCGGCAGAGCATCCCGGCAGTTTGCTCCTGGAGCGTTCCTGTGCTCACTGTGACCGTTCATCGCTGCCCCATTCACTGCTGCCCCATTCACCACTGCCCCGTTCAGCACTGCCTTGCTTGCCATCCTTCTGCTCCCTCCGCGCCGTGTCCCGTTCACAGCAATCTGTTGAGAGGGGAGAGAATGGGGAAAATCAGTGAGAAATCTGCTTTTCTATGTTTTGCAAGCTACATGTGGGAAAGAAAAAAAGTGTCTCATGGGCAGTGGGGGTGAGCAGTCCCATGAGAGAGGCTGTGGATGCCCCGTCCATCCTTGGAGGTGTTCAAGGCCAGGTTGGATGGGGCCCTGGGCAGCCTGGGCTGCTGTGAAATGTGGAGGTTGGTGGCCCTGCCTGCGGTGGGGGGTTGGAGCTTCATCATCCTTGAGGTCCCTTCCAACCCAACCATTCTGTGATTCTATAATTCACTGTGTGTCTCCCTGGCGCACAGAGCTGGACCTGCTGCAGGCACACCTCTGCTGCTTCCTGAGCTGCAGTGCTGGCTCCGTGCAGGATGTACAAGGATGCGATGCTGTGCAGAGAGTTCAGGGCTGCACCTGAGGGCACCGGGGTGAGGTGGGCAAAGCCCCCAGAAGGCATGGAGAAGTGAGGGTGAGCGCTGCAGACCCTACTGGGGGTGTGGGAACTGCCGACCTCGGGTGTGTTTGGAGAGCTGCTGGGTGTGCAGGGGCTGCCAAAGCAACAGGAGTCAGCTGAGCACTGCGCTGTGCAAACCAGAGCATAAAACTGACAGAGGGGAGAATGGGATCAGATGGGGGGGGGGGGTAAATCCCTTCCCCAGAGCCATGAGTGTCCCACCTCTGGAGGTGCCTGAGGCTGTGGATGGGGCCCTGAGCTGGTGGGGGTCACCCAGTGCACAGCAGGGCTGGGACTGAGCTCTGGGGGCTCTTTTCCAACCCAGCCGTGCTGCAGTTCTGTGGTTGTGAAGGATGCTTCCAACCCAACCATCACGTGGTTCTTTGTTCCATGGTGATGTGGGGCTGTGCAGAGCCGCGGGGTCTCAGGACCACTCCTCAGAGCCACCCCAGCTGGGGCTGCAGCACCACAGCAGGGTGGCAATGCGAGGCACCAAACACTGCACCACTGCAGCTGCACCGAGGTGAGGACTGAGTGCATCGCAGCAGCTGTGTGTGGGTCCCGCCCTCGGCTCACAGCCCTGCCTGGCGCCAGCAGAGCAAACATCAGCAGTGCACAACGGTGCAGCTGTGGGCATTGCAGGCTCGGGGAACCCAACGTGCACCCCGAGCAGAGCGGGCACTGTGGGAATGGAATGAATGCTGTTCCTGCATTTGATATTAGAAAGAGCAATGGGTTTGAAGAAGTAGGACATCACGCATTTGTATTCTGTCACTTATCCTTAGCAATAATTCAGCTAAGAAGTAAAATACTATATATGTTAGCGGCATGTTTTAAAACATTATTACTGAATTGTGTGATTAATTCTTTCTTGCAAAACTGGAATAGTTGTTAAATGTTCCAACCAATGCGAGTACAGTGTTAGGGATTAGGAAACGTATTGTAGGGCTGTTCTGTTAGGATGAGAAACTCCCAGCAAAAGAAAGGCAAATTCAGCAAACATCAAAGAAATGAGGGCTGAACTGTCTCACTCTGTGAGAAGGCTGGGATGTGAAGGCAGCACCAGGATCCTCCCCTGTCTCTCCTGAGCTCATCTTTGTAAAAAGGAGGACAAGCAGATATCCGCAAAATAACGATCAGGTGTGGAATAAGTTAATTAATTAACTGCAGATTGACGCTTATGCAGCAAAAATTTATGTTTGTTCAGTGTTTCCATGTTTGGTGAAGCGTCGAGGAGATTGTGAACCTGCAGTACTCAGCCAATGGGGAACCAGGGGAGAAGGAGATCAGCGTCGGGGAATAGGGGATAAAAGGTGTCACTCTGCTTTCTGGGTGCTCTCCTGCTTGCAGGAGGCCCGCCGTGCAACTGCGAATCAAATCTGCTTTATCAGAGACACCGTCCTGGAAAATTATTTGGATATTTCCTACAGCACTGGAGGGCCCTGCACAGCCCGATCCCACCCTGCAGGGCCCCGGGCACAGAAACCATCTCTGATTCTCTGATTTTATGCTTCCATGGCCCCAAACCTTCAGCCCAGAGCGGGGCACTGCTCAGGTTTAGCACAAAGCCTCTGGGGGCCAGCAGGAAAGTAGGCTCACGTCTCAGCAGCCCTCTGAGGCACAAGGAGGAGGCAGTGGGGGGGGCGGAGGGGGGGGGAGGGAGGGGAGAGGGATGCTGCTCCCTTCCATTGCACGGCGTCAGCCCCACGGAAACTGTGAGTAAGGTGAGCTCAGGGCAGGGCGGCTCCTGGCTGCGCTCCAGGCGCTCCTCAGCACAGCAAAGCCCTGCACTGCTCTGTGCAACACAGCCCTGCACTGCACTGCACAGCACAGCAAAGCCCTGCACTGCACAACACAGCACTGCACTGCACAGCACAGCGAAGCCCTGCACTGCACAACACAGCACTGCACAGCAAATCCCTGCACTGCACTGCACAACACAGCACTGCACTGCACTGCACAGCACAACAAAGCCCTGCACTGCACAACACAGCACTGCACAGCAAATCCCTGCACTGCATAGCACTGCACAGCACTGCACAGCAAATCCCTGCACTGCATAGCACTGCACAGCACTGCACAGCAAAGCTTTGCACTGCACAGCACAGCAAAGCCCTGCACTGCACAACACAGCACAGCACTGCACTGCAGAGCACTGCACTACACAGCACTGCACAATCTGGCAATGGTGTGCACTGCTTTGGGCACTGTTTCGAGCATTGCTCTGTGCATTGCTTTGGGCACTGCACCGTGCATTGCTCCATGCATTGCTCCATGCGTTTCTCCACTCATTGCCCTGTGCATTGCTCTGTGCATTGCTCCGGGATTTGCTCCATGCATTGCTCCATGCATTGCTCTGGGCATTGCTTTGGGCATCACTTTGGGCATGGTTCCATGCATTGCTCCAGGCATTGCTTTGAGCATTGCTCTGGGCATTTCTGGGCATTGCTCTGGGCACTGCTTTGACCATTGCTCCATGCACTGCTCTGTGCATTGCTCAATTCATTGCCCCACGCACTGCTCCGCTCACTGCTCCTCTCACTGCTCTCTGTATTGCTCCGGGCATTGCTCCACACACTGCTCCTCACTCTGCTCCACACGCAGCACCACCCCGATGCTGCGAGCTGCACACCTGCACACCCCCCCCCCCGCAGCCCCGGCTTCGTTCACAGCCCTCCCAGCCCTCCCAGCCCTCCCTGCTGCTGGTCCCGCACGGCCACGCGCTCTGCGGGACCCCGGAGCGGCGGATGGGAGGGAAGAGGGGCCGGCATCGTCCGAGTGCGGGGAGCGCCGCTTCGGGGACGGAACGGCGGAGCTGCGGCTGGGGAGCGGGGCTGGACGCCGCGGAGCTCCGGGCGTCGGGACCGATATGGGGCGTCCCTGGGGGGGCGATAATTGGGGCGGGGGGCCGCCGAGTGACCGGAGGACACTCGGAGCCCTCCGTCTCACTGCCCTGCGGTACCGACGGCCGTCGGTTCGGCTGTGCGGTGTGGGGCTCCGCCGTTGCGGGACGCGGGGTTCGCTCCGTGCCCACGCGGAACCCCACGCTCCGTGCCCCCCCCCCCGCCCCGCGCCGCCACCCCACGCCCGCTGCCTCCGTCCTCAGCCCGGTGCGGGCGGAGCCGCATTCCTGGCGTTCCTGGCTGCGCTCCCGCGGCCCCCGCTCATCCCCGCAGCCGCTGTTCGTCGTGCCATCTCCGCATACCTCCCCGCGGCGCTCGCGGTTCGGGTGCGCCCTGCAGGTGCCCGCGGTCCCGAAGCCTCCGCCGCTCTTTCCTGCCCGGGATCGGGGCGCGTTTAATACCTTTCCCTTCCCCGCCCCCGCGGATGACACAGCCGGCCCAACCCCGCACCTTCGGCACGCGGACGGCACTCCCCAACCCCCCCTCCGCCCCCCCCTCCCCAAACGCATCGGGGTCCGGTTGCGGCTCAGCGCCGCCCCGCGCCCTTTGGGAGGACCGGCAGGGTGGTCGGGGGGACCCTGAAAGCTCAACGTGAGCCCAACCCCGAGTGCCAAAACCGTTCACTTAACCCCAGCCCTGACCCCGATTCTAATCCCGACCCTGAACCCACAGCTAACCCCAACCCTAACCCTAAACCCAACCTCAGTCCTAAACCCAAACCCAACCCCGACCCTAAATCCAACCTCAACCCTGATCCTAACCCTGAATCCAACCTCAAATTTAATCCCAACCCTAACCCCAACCTCTACCCTAACCCCAACTGAACCCCAACCCCAATCCTGAGCCTAATCCCAATCCTAAACCTGACCACCAACCCCAGCCCCAACCCCAATCCCAACCCCAAACCCAAACCCATCGCCAACCCCAAACCCAAACCTAACTCTGACCCCAACCCTAACACTAACCTCATCCCCAACCCCAACCCTGATCCCAAAACCACACCTAACCCCAACGCCAACCCAACGCTAAATCCAACTTCAACCCAGAACTTAACCCTGACCCCTGAGCACAACCAAACCCCGACCTCAATCCTAACCCCAACCCCAGCCAAACTGCCAACCATAAACCTAATCCCAACCCTGACCCCAAACCCAACCCTAAGCCTGACCACCAACCCCATCCCCAATCCCAACCCTGAACCCAAACCCATCGCCAACCCCAAACCCAAACCTAACCCTGACCCCAACCCTAACACTAACCTCATCCCCAACCCCAACCCTCACCACCAAAGCCATCCCCAACCCAAACCCCAATATCCTAACCCCAACCCCAACCCCAACCCTAACCCTAACCCCAATCCTAACGCCAACCCCAGCCCCTAACCCAATCCCAATCCCAACCACAAACCCAACCCCACTCCAACCCCAACCCTTACCCTAACCCTGACCACAACCCCAACCCTGACCATCAACCCCAACCCCAAACCCCAACCTTAACTCCAATC